CTAATTAAATTTGCCGTCGCGTAATCGCGCGCCGGAGTTCTCCGAGAGAATAAGCGTGACTTATCGGCGCGAGCTTAGCGTGTGCTTAATATGTTGCTCACATGTTGCTCGCGGAGCGAACCTCGCGTATCCATGCGAAATTCTTAATTCTTCATCAAATTTTAGAATTCTGCATTACTTATATACTTTTTACATATTTTTCATATATCGTAATATAATTATATTCCATATAACAGGCTGACACTTGTTTTGCAGCCTATGCTTATTAATATAATTTAACATAAAGCTAAGAGATTTAAGAAATGTGTTCAAAATTTATTATTTAACATCCGTAAATTTGAAAGTATTTATAACTTTTTATAACAGGACTTAATATAACTCAATATAGCCCGCGTTAATCACTCAGAAAAAATTAATTGTTACTATCACATATAATGTAACATGTTCTGGGAAAGCGCGGTTGTGTTTTTACTATTTTTAAATGACATGTCAATTCACCAAATGCGAAGATCTTGCGGAATTTAATCGCGCGCAGTGAAAATGTGAGGAGGTAGTTCCGTAGTCTCAAGCGCTGTTCTATGACAAGTAAGGACGCTTTGATATCGTTAATGTACATCGCGAATGTAGCTATTCCCGTAAATTAACGCAAACAATGGTATGTACCGAGTATCTGGGGCACGGACGCGCGCGTACGGGAGAGTGCGCGGCGAGTTAAAATTTTAGCAATGGCTTAATTTTCGCTGACAACGCGAGGCGAAACGCCTAGTAAATTTAATTTGCGAGATTTGAATAATACATATATATGCACACGCAATTTTCGCATAATTCTATACGTAACCGCTGCGAGAGCGAATGAACCCCGCGAGAAAAACGCCTATCACAAGTCTTTGTAAAATATCCACCGCCTTTTACACTTTCTCCGTGCTGAACTTGTGTCTTTCCTCCGGCAGAAATTTGCACGCGCGGTTACACTTGTTAAATAAACGGAATAAAATACATTAATACATCTAAATATGGAGATATACTGTGACGCTCGGTGTTTTGTTATGTGACGAAACAAAGCTGTTAATCATATATCGTTATTATAAATTTTTCAAGGATGGTTTACATGAGCAATTAAATACACTAAAATGCATAAAATGTATTTATATATTTTATATTTTTTAATATAATAAAAACTTTTAGAACTTTTAAGAGATTATTAGAGATATAATATTTTATAGTACTTATTTTTCAGTATTTGGAAGAAATATGTTCAGAGCATTTTTTAAATGAAAAATTCTCATAGATGTACACTTTATTTACGCTCAAATAAAAAAAGCTCCAGCTTTTTGCTCATAATACTTTGTTTCTTTTCTTTAATTACGGGATAGGCTTTGGAAAATCCATATATCGAGAAGTTTGTATTTTATTCCGGGAAAACACGATGCATCGAGTGCATCGATCGATGGCGTATGTTATTTTTGGCGTCGTCGCTCTCTGATATTTGGCGGCATCCAGTTCTTGTTTCGAGATAAAACATAGCAGAACGATGAAAAACTCTGTCAAGAATGCATCATCAGTCCCCTAAAAAAAATTCCCGAACGCGGGCAATCTATCGCGTGGCGTTCCGCAAACGCGTTAACAGTTTCGTGCGATAGATACGAACGACGCGCGCGCGCGTACAATTTTCGAGCGAGCTTTCGCTTAACGAGTTCGAGGACAGGTAAGATTTACGAGAAAAATGCTTGTCAGCGCGAGGATGGAATTTATGAAAACTCTCGTTTCGCCCCGGTCGGCACCGTCAGTTCTCCTTCTCGCCCACCCGCGGCCCTCGTTCTCGCCGTACCTTTTCTTTCCCCCCGACGCGCATCCACCTTCCTCCTTATTTCTCGTCCATCCATTTCTCTCGCGCGGAACTTGGTGCGCCGCTATATCCAGAAAGTACATCGACTTGTGATGTACTTTTTGCGATACATTAAGGCGTATATTTTATGGGATGTGCGTATAACGCGACGGCGGCAGCGTACCGCGGGTGCACGCTATCGACTCAGGTCTTCACACAAAGTCGCGAAGACACGCGAATAACGTTAAGAGTGCGAGCGAGTGACTGATGCGACTCCGGGGGTCGCCTCCCTCATCCGCGCAGGGGTTATCAACCCTTCTCCGTTAAATTACATTTAACTCGATCTTATGGCAGACAATGGCACCGTTATTTCTATTCGATAAAAAGTTACGCGGTGACAAATAGCGTCATTGTACATCTCGCGTCGACAAATTTAATTTGCACATGCTGAGCGACGTAATTGAATGCATCATGTGATTAACGTATGGGTGGGTATTAACGTATGAAAATCATTTTAGCCACTATGAACGTAATTTAGACACTATTTATTATATAATGTTGCAATTAGCGCGTGAGATATCTAACTAAATTACAGAAATTCACTTTGTTCTTATTTAAATATTCTCAGCTTTGTTATCTCGATATTACGAACATAAGCAGTATAATAGAAACTGTTAAGGACATTCGGGAATTCTTACACTGTATTTTAAATAAATTTATTATCAACGTACCGTTGTCATCGTTAAGGATAATATCGCCGTTCCAATCGTAACTACGATAATAGGCAAACTTTCCTTCACGATGCAAAAAAACACTGAAAATACACGCCGTTATTCCTCCCATCTAATTACAATAATAATAGTCGCGTAACGGCCCGCCTCGATGCCGCACGAATTTACATAAACGTCCGGCATACTTCATTATCGCGGCTATCGATCGTGGAAACGACCGGGATAGGAATCGGGCCGACTCATTCCGGGTGGATCTCATTTAGATTCCCATTCTCGATCGTCCCGCGATTTTCAGAACCAACTTTATCAGCGGTGGACCGGCACGCGTGCCAGGTTGCGCGGCGCGGATCGAGTTTCCGGACGAATGCATCTTGCCCGACGAATTTCCTCCTCTGTAGCGTTTCTTTATGGCAATTTCTAGCAAGATTGCCGCATCGCGCGCATACGCTCGTATCGACGCTTCGTTCGTACACGGCCCCCGAGATGCAATGCGGATGCCGTCAGTAGGGTATGCAAACGTATCCATAATACATAACGCGCACTCGCGCGCCACTGTGTGCGCGAGAGACACGTGCACGCCGTGTCATGTTGCGTGTGTGTTGCGTGTATATATACGCGTTCCGCATACAGCGGCGGTTTTGCCGCATCTAATGTACACTTTTCACGTCGCGGCAAACTGCGGCGGGCACCGTAAAGATAGCCCGGGAAAGTGCACGCCGATATTACGTGACGTGTTGCTCGATAATGATACCGTCGTCGTACGATAAAAACAAAGTGAGCGTTATACAAACGCATTCGCATATACGTGCGTATACGCGCATGAAGGCACGCTTGGGCTTGTACAAGCGGCTAAGGTAAAGATAATGAGAAGCATCGCGCTTTAACGAAACTCCGCAACGCGTGCAGAAAATTATTCGTTCGCCTTACCTTATCGCCCCGTCTCGACTTTTTCCGAGGGATATTGTTAATATATTTCGCAAGGAGTTTCCGCTTAACAATGATGTGATGATCGAGAACCTTCTCGCTACTCAATTAAACGAAGAAAAATATGCGAGAAGTAGGTCGCGATAAGAGGTAGGTTTTTCAGATACGCGATTTAAGTCGAATTTATATCGCAATCAAGATATTTTATCTAGAATTGATGACAGATTGCTGTGAGATTACGTGGCACCCATTTCAAAGTCTTATACGCATAGATTGTGGATAAAAGTAGTACGACCATGTTTTTAAAACGCCAGTAGTCACGTTCACGAGTCAGACAAATATCATTTTTGAATTAATACTGTGTTTACAATATTGTATTTAGGTAGATCGTAATCAAGAATTTTTATCAAAACGCAAATGGACATTTATAGTAAATTGTCATGAGGCTGTGCTTACAAAGAGTTCTTTATAACATTTAACGTTTACACTAGCAAGATCGTAGATTAATGTTCATCCGTAGATCTTTAAAGTAGTGCGTGTACATGTCACATGCGACAGTAGTCATAACGACGCGCGGTCAGACACGCAATGTACTTCCGACTGTTTTTTCTGAATTATAAATAACGAAGAAATGTAACGTCAATAATATCTACATAAGCCGATTCCCTCATTTCGTAATATGTTTGATTATTACCGATGATTATTATCGTACTCCTCGCAGTCATATCACTCAAAAGGCGACACGAAGTGAGATCGTCATCAAAGATATCCATTCGCGTGAATATGATATCTGGTGAAACTTTTACGAACTTTTTATCGGTGCCGTCGTGAAAATCGAAAGACGATGTACTGCCGAACGGATCGCCAAGTCGGATCGTTGAACGTGGTACAAGCGCGCCGGACGAAGTAGTGCGAGTACGGTTTACGGCAGCCGGCCGGTTATGAAACGCGCGTATGATCGGGTACGAAATGCGCTTCGGTGAGTGCGAGTGAGTTGAGGGGCGGGAGGGGGGGGGGAGCCAGGTGTGCTCTCGGCAAACGAGATGGATGTGCTGGATGTTCGCGTATCGCGTGACCACTCGATCAACGCCGCCGCGAGTTGACAGTGACTTACGCACCCGGGCACTCAACGAGATATGACATGCGCCACTGGTCGCGCGCCGCCGATGGGGCGCCCCCATTGTTACCCTACCTGTGTACCCGCCAAACACCCTTAATCTTTCTATCTTTCATAGCCTTTGTCATCGTTCGGTCGCTCACGTAGCCCATATTTCTCTCCACCCCTCGTGCACCCTTCCTCCTTTATCGGCCTACTTCCCGTCTCGTGAATAAAGTGCAACGTTCGTTGCTCGCCGCGATAATGTCGTTCATTTCACGCGGCGGTACTTTTTGCAATAAGGCCGCGTTCTAAAACCGGTTCGAGCCTTCGGGGACATGCGTCGCGCAACGACGACGTCTCGACGAACGAGCGACGATATAAAGGCCCCGATCGCAGTGATTGACAGGCGGTGGTTACTTACCGGAATCCAGAACCGTGTATCGTGGATTTGACGTGTCGATAGGCAGCATATCTCGCACCCAGGAGATGATAGGCGTCGGGGATCCAACTGCGGTGCAAAGAAGGACCGCGTTGTGGCCCATCTCTACTACCTTCGTCGTCGGCGCTTGAGTGATCATTGGGAAACCCATCGGTAGATTTTCCGCTGTAATAACAAAAAAGATGATGTCTTTAGTTATTAAATATCACGCTTAAAAGTCTGAAATAGCACATTATGCGGTAAGAAGCGCTGATAATGTTATATATACAGAGAGAAAAACGAGAGTTGATGCATCTTTTAAGAAAGTTCGCTGAAGAGCGAACATATGGTAATCGTAGCAAGACAACGTATCCGTAATACAATTTAAAATAAATACAATATTTCTCAAGTGAAATAATCTGAAAATTTGAATAAGCACGTATTATTAAAATTTGAGTAAGCACATATTATTAGTTGAAGCCGCGCGTTGTACTTTCATGAACTTACTTTGCAAGATCGCTGCATTAATTTTCCCTGAGAGCAAGGTGAACATGATTTTTAATATTTTAAAATAAAGCGCGAGTTCAGCGAGTTTATTATATGCTCTTATATGCTCACATAAGCTTAATTGTAGTTGTTTGAGCTTTTATACGTGCAGACGTGTTCGCGCACACTGAGTATAATCGATCAAAAAATTTTGACTGCTTCATCCGTTATTCATCTACAAGATGTATGATCTTCTTAGACATCAGAATAATCAAATAATGATATATAGCGGGACGAGTATACACATACGTGGATTATTTATAGGAGATAACATTTAGTCGAAAATATCGCGCGTAGCGAGAACGTCAAAATATTCGATGTGTACACGTCTTTTACATTGATACGAGGCAAACTTCGTGGCTCGTCAATTATATATCGGACGTGTCGTAGAGTAGATCCGGATAGCTCTCTGTGGATCGTAGACGGGCATCCGGCGACCGGTCTCGCGGGATCGAAAGTTAGCAAAAGCCACTGGAACTGGTCGGCCACGCCGTTCCCATTTCCCATCGCGGAAAACAGATCTTCCGTCCCTCGGAAGGCAGCCCGCTGATATGGATAGATGCGCCGGAATGCCGATGCAATCAGGAATGGAATCACAGAATTCAATATACCGCGCGAAGATCTTTTGAAAGGATCCGCCAAAAAGGATCAAATAAATCGCGCGATTCTCGTTTGGCAGCTGCGTTTTTTGGATGTTGCGTAATTGGAATAAATATCTCGCAGAAGATTTTTAATTCACTATTTAGTTCTCAATTCTCTTCACAAACTTGTTTTTTTTTAATAGTAAGAGAAAAATACATCGATCTATTTAAAACGAATGAATATTTGCACAGATCAGTTAAATAGACATCCGAGAAAAACATTATATTTTGAGAAAGACGAAGCAATATTTATAAAACGGTATCCACGATGATGTTTGAATCTTCATGGCTTTTAATAGGCCGTGGCGTTCGCCACGGGTCTAATCGATACCTAATTAAAAGATATGTTCGATAGAGATTGAGCGCGTCAAAGGCACGATGCGCAAGTCGTGCGTGAAGTTCAGCCTCAGGGCGAGTAAGAAGATTAATTCGACCTGTTTCGAGGTACACGTGATCCGACCCACATCGCTCCCGTTCTTCATGTAATTACGACGGCGCTACATTAATCCTTGGGGTGAACTCGTAGTTAAATCTAAGTTGGCGACGCGGCGTACGAAGTTCAGAACAACTCTCGCGATTGTCCTGCTTCCGTTTCGACGAAAGCTCGTACGACAGAGATGAAGACAATTTACCTGAACCGATTTAATAACCTCTCGATATACTGGTTATTTGAAGCAGACGTAGAATTTATTTTACAAAAAATGAAATTGAAAATCTAATAGAGAAGATATAATATATGATACAATTATATTTTAGACAAATCACTCATATCATTCATAAAGGGGAGTCTTATATTTAAGTGAAGCAGGACTACTTATAATTAATTAGAGAATATGTTATTTTCAGTTAACCTGAATCTTAATATTTCTGAACAGAAATATTATTCTTAATACAGAAATATTACTGTTAGGCTACTAAAATTCAGCCCGACTAAAAATGGCATTTTCTCTAATTATTAATATTATATTTCCAAAATTAGTGCACTCTTTTCTCGGATCATTTTATACATAGTTTTATTTTATATTTGAAGTTAAATTTTTCACAGAGATAATGCTTTTTATTATGCATCGTCATTAATAAATTAAGATTTAAATAACGCAAAGATTTAATACAAGATTTTCCATTTCACAACATTCAAATTATAATTTATAAAGAGAAGACGGCTCTATAATTTTTTAGAAATTTAACTATCTGAGGTTAAAGTTACTGGTAAGCGAACTTGAGACTTATTACAAGGCCCACAAACTGGGTGAAAGTTCGCCGTAAGAGCGCGATCAAACTGCAATTACCATCGACGCCTCGGGGTGGCTCTTAGAAAGTCCATCTTTCACAGTCTCGTCAATTACAAGAGCAATCGGAACTCGCGGATGAAGTTAATGGTCGGCAAGTACTTTCGCGTATTCTGATCTACTCGTCTCCATTCGCGAATATATTTTAAACCAATGAACCTGTTGGAGCTTGGTAAGCCAGTCGTTCACACGAACGTAAAGATATATTTGAAGATTGGCACAATTGCGCATCCAGTCGCTTTGTGTCTTTTCTATCTTTTGTTTTTCTTTTGTAACATTGATACCGTCTTTAGTTGACGTTATCCGAGCAGTCGGTGTTCGGTTAGATGTTAGATTGCGGATAAAAGAAAAATAAATGTCTCTTAATTGTTTCATCATTATCTTCCATTTGTCCATTTAATTTCTCTTATAGGAAGTTTTTCGTTCAATAATCATTTGAACTAAAACCAGCACATAAATGGGCTTTTTCTTGCTTAAAAATATTTTCAAATTTACGTTGTTTTAAAAATATTTTTAATTTTAATTCGTCAAACTTTTTATTTCCAACACCGCCAGCGTTATTACATTAAATCAATTTCTCCCATTTTCGAATCTACATTTATCGAAAGAGATAATAATGTCTATAGAGAGATAAATTAAAAAATTCTTTAGCGCAATTTGATTTTGTTGGAAATTTCGAGTCAAATCGAGATAAGTGCATAAATTAATAGCTTATTTTATCTGTCAAATTAACAGTTCTACTTTTAACATGAACAGAGAGGAGAATTTAATTACCACATTACATAATTTATTTGCTTCAACGTAATGAGGACATTTAGCTGTATTGCTTTTTTAGCACAGATCACGACAGCATCGATGTCATCATGTACATTACCATATATGTATCGAAAACATTCAAGTTAACAAAGATGCATGCGAGATGTATGATCTAATCGAGAGATTGTTGGACTCTCTTTTTGTGTATATTGCGCAGACGTGAAATCATCGTAAATGGGTCAAGCAATTTACCGACTATTTGTTACCATAGTCGCAACTATTGTGCATTAAGGAACTCGAAGCTATTATACAAGTCGCGTCGCTCTTTCTTTCTTTCATTTTCTCAGCAGGATCTGTCAAATTCAACGGGATTCGCGTGCTATTAACGCGCGAGAGAGGCCGATAGGGGGAGAGCGGTAGTCCAATGCTCGACAACCTCCAGGATTTTCTCAGGGTCTTCCTCTCCCCATTGTTTTCTTCCGCGGCGCCGCTTCTTTGTCCTCGTTATCGTCCGAGTTATCCGACGCGCGGCTGCGCCAATTATATCGGCGGCCGAGAGAGCGCTTCGCGGCCGACAATAGAAATCGCCTGCAGACTTTCCGTGTGGCCCCCCGCAGCCATTTCCACCCTCTCCTGTCCCACCTTTTCCTCCCGCTATATCCTCTTTCCTCCGTGCGCTTTTCCACCGGCGACAACAAACAATACAAGCACCCGACGTCGACCGCGTCGCAACGACAACAAAGTCGTCGGCAAAGCTATTGTCCCCGCCTGGCGATCCGGCCGCCGCGCCTTCCTCGTGTCCGAGGTCGCGCGACGACTATTGTACAACCGGAGAACGAACACGACTACGACGATGACGACGACAACGGCGACGACAACGACAACGACAATGATAACGAAGACGACGACCGTCGCTGTCGCCTTTTTCGTGGAAGACGTGATTTTTGTGGGAATTTGTCTTTCTTCCCGGCTTCTCGTTCTCTTTACGGCGTTCTTCCATTCCTGGTTTTCCTTCTTTATTTGCGATTTCTCGCTGTGCACGCCACTTGACTATGCACGCAAATGCGCGCGCGTAAAAGCGCGAATATGATGGACCGAGCGCACGTGGACGAGTTATTGTCGGGGATGAACGCCTTCTTTTTTACAATTTCCTTTTACGGCGCTTTGCACCGTTTCTTTCTCTCTCTCCCTCGCTTTATCTCTATTCGCACATCGAGTCTTTTACCGTTACATTTAGATTTATGTTCGCCGCAACGCGATCGTAAGATCACAGTTTCACGCGAGAAGAGATTTTTCTTTTCAGAGATTCTTGCCCGACAGGACACAGGACACAAGATTAAGTTACAGACTGTGTATTTACTTTGTTAACTTTGTAGCGAGATGACGAAAAATATATCGAGTGTACCGTAAAGTAGTAGAACCGTAAAGTGATTAAAGACACATTCAGCTACATTCTTTATCATGTTAATGTCTGACTCTATAATGACGTTCTCTACTGGCGACATTTGCCGCTTAATTTCCGCGCGACGGAATGGATCTTTAATTTTTTGATTAATGTACATTACAATAAAAGACAAAGTAACGTAAAGTTAGTAAAGTAACTTTATCAATTTGATATGAAATCGCTTTAGGTTGATGCCGTTGCGAGCAATTTATTTGATCAAAATAATTAAAGTACTGATAAAAAAATTTCGGTAATAGAATATAGAATATCAACTATCGCCGTTGTGATACCGGGATTACTTCAATTCGAAGGCGGATGTATGAAGAACGTTGAGGCATTGTAACGATTTGTCCCATTCTGCGCGCTCACTCTCGCATCCTCCATCTTCCGTCTTATCGTATCATCCAGCGCGGGCCCGCGTTTCGCGTCGTTCGAGTGAAACATAATGGAGAGAAATCAATAGAATGATCGGTTTCAAATAACTCGTTTTACTTCCATCCCTTTTTTCGC